GCTGCAGATGAGACATAGCCCTGTAAAAACAATTGGTGTGGGGCATCTTGGTGCTGTAATTATAATAAGACCTGCAGATCAATCCTTAGTTGACTGTTGACATCTAGTGAAGCTACGGGTCAGATATTAAAGCAGAGGAACATTAGTGAAGATGTACATGATGCTTATATGAAGATTTATTAGCATAGTAAGAATATTGAAGATTCGCTCCCTCATTACACCATATACGTGTCAGGTTGAGGTGAGGCAGTTCAAAGTTACAACAGCATTGAAAACAGTGACTTATGACCATTTTTCACACTTACAACCTTTGCAGCATCCCCATGGTCACATGATCAAAATTCAGGCACTTGACAACTGGCATATATTTATGAGAGTCGTGCTGTCAAAGGGCCATGTGACCACCATTTGCAACCTTTCCAGCCAGCTTCCACCAAGCAAAGTCAATGACGGAAGCCAGATTCGCTTAACAACTGCACGATTCACTTAACAAGCGGTGATTCGCTTAATAACTGTGGCAAAAAGGCTGTAAAATGGGGCACAATTCAATTAACAACAATGGAAATTTTGGGCTCAATAGTGGTTGTAAGTCAAGGACTACCTCTAGGTAGATGTGACTCACAAATGTCTATGGAGATTCTCAGTCACCCAGCGCGTGGTTGACCAGTGCCACAAACACCCCCTTCCAACCTCACAATTCAAGAAAGGGGAGCAGTGACATCCCTAGGAGAAGACCCAAATAAAGGAAGATGCACAGTCATCCTGAACACAGGTAACTACAAGGCCAAGTGAACAATCTTCTGCAGGACATTACTACGTATGAGGCTTTGAAGAGAGACCCCACCAGCAGTTACCAGCAAAAAGTCATTGATTTCTTGCAACACCTACTGACCTACTGACACAGATAAACCTCCAGGTGGCTTGAACTAAAAGGAATGCAAATGACCAGCTGTCTGCAAGGAGTACAAATCTTTCCATTTCCCACCATCCAGCCAGAGCTGAAGAAGCTTCGAGGATGAGAAGCAAAACATCTCCAAAGAAAAACCAGAAAGCCCAGTTGCCCTTTGAAAAGGCACTTTGGGGACATCTGACTCACAAAGTGGCTGCTTTTGCTTGAGCAAATTTTGTATTTCTTTAACCTCTCTTTCCCCCCTTTAAATTGCTTAGTTTAGGCATCAGCAAGGGAAGATTACATACAGGTAGCCCTTCACTTATAACTTTTAAGTTCAAAGTTATGAAAGCCCCCCCCCCCCCAAAAAAAAGTACTCACCACCCAGATTCAAAGTTCCGGCAGCTAGGAGCCTCCTCCCCATGGTTACATGACTGCATTTTGGATGCTCAGCGATCAGCCTGCATTTACGGGCATTTAGAATCTATATATATAAAAGCAAAATACCATTCATGCATCATCACAAAATCTCCAGAACCATAAAGCCTACAAACTTGAGATTTGGCACATATATTCCTCTTGGCTTCTAAGTGCTCACTAAGAAAGGATTTTTCGAAATGACCACCAGAGCATTAGTATTTCCTATATTATTATTAACACGCTCTGATGCTAAGGAGTTCTACTCCCCCTCCCCGCCTGAAAAGAAATCTGTTCCAAATGCAAAACACAAGCAGAGGAGAGCAGTTTCAGTTTCACAGCAGAAAGCAGCTTTAGTACAGAACAGTTGAGCTAAGCCACGCCCAGGCTCCTTGCTGTCTCCTTCTTGCTTACACAGCAAATACTGTTTCAGTTGCCATGTTTCAGTTTCTAAACAGCCCTCAACTCTCTCACGCACTAACAGGACACTAGCCAGATGAATACTGATAGATGTTGGTAGGCACAGGCAGAATTGTCTTTTCCTTATTTTCCTCCCAAAATACTAAGCCCAACCCCATAGTTTCATAGCGAAGCACAGATATTGAGCTAGTATAGAATAAGAGAGTTGGAAGAGACTTTGAAAGTCATTCAACTCCCTCCTTTCTTGACAAATAGTGTCCAATCTGTTCTTAAAAACCTCCAATTATGGAGCACCCACAACTTCTGAAAGTTCCACATTAATTGTTCTCACTGTCAGGGAATTTCTTCTTAATTCTCCTTTAAGAGGATCCCTCTTTGATAATCATCCATCCATTACTTCTTGTTTCCTGCAGTGTCCTGCAGTCACAGGACCACAATCTCTGACTTTTTTTGCCAGAAATTGGCATTTACTTCAGAATTTCGCCAAAAAATGCTCACTGCAGACAAGGGGGTTCACTTGATGAATGCCGCAGAAAAATGCCATAAAACCAGGTCGGTCACATGTTGACCTGCTTAATGACCCGCATGACTTAAGGCCATAATTATGGGCTTAGTCATGGTGTAAGTTGAGGGCTACCTGTATTAGTGAGGATTAAGTTTCTAACAGAGATTGAGTTTTTGCTAAGACAAACTAGAGAAATTATTATCTAATTGGGGTTAGAGTTGGAATTTTGCTATCTCACAGCTCACAAGAATAAATAGGAATAGCTGCCTTGTATGAGCTGTCTCTTTTCCAGGTGTTAATTTAAAAAAAATGCCATGATGTCATTTCAGTTAGGAAGTACCTCATTACTGACAATAAAAGCAATGTCAGTCACAGGAGATAACATATTTGTAGAGGAAAAAATGTGATGTATAACCAGATATTGCCAGCAATCTACTCCTGATCAAAAAAAATTTTTTAAAAAAAATAAGTAGGTCCCAATTCAAATGTTATTGAATTACCTGTTGCTCTTGGGATCCCAAATAACTGGGCCTTACACCCTCACTAACTCCTGATGCTTAAATGCTAGTGAAAGACAATCGAAATTTAATCTGTGTTTGTGCGAAATAGACTCCCATTGTTCCCACCTGATGTTTAAATCAGCATCACCATCTGGTGGTCAGTTATGGTAGCTCTTAATATTTTATTTGCCATTGCTTTCTGTAACACCGACAATAGGGCCAACATTGATAAAAATATAATAAATGTTTTGTGGGAGAAAAAGGAGGCACGGAACAACAAAATAAAACTTTTTGTTTATATTTATTCCATGATTTTTAAAAATCCCTCCATGTAGAAAATAGCATAGAATAGAACAGAATAATTTTATTGGCCAAGTGTGACTGGACACACAAGGAATTTGTCTTGGTGCAAATGCTCTCAGTGTACGTAAAAGCAAAGATACATTCACCAAGAGTCAAGAATCATGAGGTACAACACTTAATAATAGTCATAGGGTACAACAAGCAATCAAATCATACTAGAAAACAGCCAATATAACTTGTAAGGATACAAGCAACAAAGTTACAGTCATACAGTCACAAGTGGGAGGGGATGGGTGATAAGGAGTGATGAGAACATTAATAGTAATAGTAATGCAGACTTTGTAAATAGTTGAACAGTTGAGGGAATTATTTGTTTAGCAGAGTGATGGCATTCGGGGGGAAACTGTCCTTGTGTCTAATTGTTCTGGTGCGCAGCTCTACAGTGTCATTTTGAGGGTAGGAGTTGAAACAGTTTATGTCCAGGAAGTGAGTGGTCTATATAAAGAAAAATCTAAATGTAACTCTTTTTCTAGACAAATCATTTTTTCTTCTTCTTGCTGCTTATAAAGCACCAAGCAAATATGGAATGCCACCACTTTGGATTGCTTAGCTCAGAAAAAAAATATCTACCTTTTCTCTTTTCTACTGTTTTCACAGTATGTTAGAGACTTAAGGGCACAAAAGTTACCCAGAAATTCAAAACATTGCAAAGACTTGGCATTCCTTTGGTGTAGTTAATATGAGTAGGGCCTGCAGGCAGCCCTAACAATCATTCAGTGACTGTTTAGAGTTACAAAGTCACTGAACGAAGGGATGTAATTATAACTGATATTAAAACCTCCAGCCCCAGTCATGTGAATTTGGGAGCCTGCAACCAGTTCACACATACCATACTACCAGTTGCAGCGGCCCACAATCATACGATCAACATTTGTGGACCTTCCCTGCTGGCTTCACAGAAGCAAAGTCAATGGGGGAATCTGGTGAGAAAGATTGCATATCGCTCAGGGTGGTCTACCCCCCACTTTCTTCACTTGCGCACGCATTGCATCCTCCTTCCCCTTTCATTCACACATGCTCTGTACTGTCAGGCGCAAATAAACAAGAGCACTCACTGAGCTCAAAACACTAAAAAATTTATTGTTGCTACCAACCAGGGATGGGATTCTACCAGTTCACACCTATTCTCTAGAACCGGTTGTTAACATTCTAAGCAGTTCGGAGAACCAGTTGGGAAGAAATTACTGGCCTAATCCTGTAAGGAAGGCAGGAAGGAAACATTCTGGTGTTGCTTACAGAAACTGCCTCTCCGTTAACCCTTATTACATTCTTGGCAGGACTAGACTTCCTGTCTCAGGAACGTCTCTGGAGTTTTTTCCCCCTCATTTGCTGGTACTTTGCTTGTGTGGAGTGACCATTCAAAGTTACAATGGCACTGAAAAAAGTGACCATTATGACCATTTTTCACATTTACGACTCTTGCAGCATCCCCACAGTCATGAGAGGCCAGGCGAGAAGATGCGTGCCTCGATGTGAGTGATATTGAGTTGGCCACACCCAGCCAATGACAAGATCACCAAGCCACGCCCACCAACTAAGCCATGCCCACAGAACCGGTTGTTAAAAAATGTGAATCCCACCCCTGCTACCAACACAAAAGAATCTGATCAACTAATGATAAAAAAATGGTGCTAGATATGGGTCAATGGAATTCAATGGGAGGGCTGGACTTGGGTTTCTTGTGGTGGCGCAATGACCCCAAACAGATGATATGTTTGACTTCACCTTCCAGCTCAGCATGATCATCTACACCTGCCCTCTTTCCACAACTTCCCCACAATCACACACAACCTGCCCCCTTCTCCAGCTTCCCTGTGTTCACACATACTCACATTCCCCATGCCACCTTTCCATAGCCCCTGAACTGACACACACAATATGCACATGCCTGCAGCCCATACCTGTGCCCCCACACGATGCCTGCACCCACCACACCCACACGGCCTGCATCAGGTCTTTCAGGGCCTCTCCCTCCCACCCCTACCCCCGTGGCATCTGCTCATTCCTTCCATGGGACGTGTTCTGCTCACACATAATAACTTGCATATCTTGGGCTACAACAACAACTAGGTCTGGATTGCTGTCACTAAGTGATGTGGTTGTGTGATGTCGTGCTTTATGATTGTATTTTTTTAGTGACAGCAATCCTGATCAAGATCGCAGTCATAATCTGAGGACTACCTATTTTGAATGAAATATTTTAATTCATGTTTGGCATTTTTGGATCACAGCAGTCTCCCCTCCCCTCCAAAATCTCAAGTTTCCTGATGTTTTTCAACATTGAATTCATCCCATGGAAATTTGGTCTCTAGTCCATTCATATTTTCCTGGTAGAGCTGGTAGAAAGCAGCGCTCTGCTCTTCAGTAAAGTGAGTTTTCCAGTCCCCAGAAACCCCTGCAAAAAAGGGGAAGGAAAAAGGTAAGGCACTATGTGTTTTACTGCACCAACTTTTGGATATTCATTGAACTGTAGATTTTTTTCAACGCGTTTTGATTTTTACCTTTCCTGAAGAAAGGGCTGATCTTTTGATCCAGCACATTTTCAGGAACCAGAGTGTAATTCACCATCTTGTTGTTCTTCATCACCCCAAAAGAAGCATTTTCCACCACTGAGTCAACCATAGTAGAATCCAAATTCTTGCCTAGGAATTCACAAATGCGAAGAACACTGCCACGTAGATCCTAAAGGTAGAAGATCATGAGGAAAAGCTAGATCTCTAAGTTAGGACCTCTAGGACAAAATGACTTCTGAATTGGAGTGGGGCAACAAGGAATGAAAATAATAGATAGATAGATAGATAGATAGATAGATAGATAGATAGATAGATAGATAGATAGATAGATAGATAGACAGACAGACAGACAGACAGACAAGCAGGCAGATAAAAATAGATCTAGATAGATGATAGGTAGGCAGACATCTACCTTTAGCAATTCATCATAGACCAGAAGGAGAAACTTTTTCTCATTCTTGTAGGCCAGCCAACTTTTAACATGATCAAACCAGGTACCAAAGAGAACTGGGGGAAGCAAATAAAAAGGAAAGCGTTTTTATTTTATATTTTTGTAGCTGCATAGATTTTAATATAGTAAGCAAAATAATTCTGGAATTGGAAACCTATATGCACTAATAGTGAATTCCACTGATCCCAGCAAAACTGATTTCTAAGCAAATGTTCATAGCAAAAGGAGGGTGGTATTGTACCTCCAGATGTTCTGGATTATAATTCCCATAATCCCTTGCCACAGGCCATGCTGGCTAGGCAACAAGGAACCAAAATCCAAGACAACTGGACCATATTGCCCACTCGTGTCTTACAAGCATCTCAGCCAAAGGGAAGAATGCTACGGAGACAGCAAGGAGCTAAAAGTTCACCTGACAGAATCCATTTGTTATCATCTAACAGACTAAGCAGATTGTTAGTGTGGACTTGACATCCACAGACATTTGACACACAAGGGGATTCTACAAAGGATTGGCATTTTGCTTCATCAGAGGGCATAATTTAATTGGTTCCAGGTCAGACAAAACATGACCCAACCGAACTGAGAAAGAAGCAATCAGATTTACCAGTTGCATCTTACACATGCCAGAGGTCAATGCTGTGAGTTGTGAGGCAGTTAAAAGCAGGTCAATTGTTATGACAAAAAATAGCAAAAGCAACTCATGATTCATTATAAAAAGAATGAAGACAGCAAAGAGGTTATAATGAAAGGAATGAGATGGATGGATGGCTAAGATGTTGGTGGTTAAGGATGAATCTAAGGAGTATCTTAGAGTAAGATTGTAATACAAAATGAGTAGAACCCCAAAGGCCATAGCTGAAATGGCATGTTTCTTTCTGGATCTGGGGTTGATTTGTTAGCATTTTTAAACCAGGTTAATTTATTTCTATACTGTTAGACTGCCTAAGACTCAGACTATAGATTATTTCTTATGTATTTCCTACCTCAAAATGCAGGGAAATAGCACCATAAATTCTGGACAATTGTGTTTTTATTTATTTATTTATTTTATTTTATTTATTTATGTTTGGTGGTAACTTCAGTGGTTCAGGATTAACCTGGGACCTTGGCTGTCTATCCAAAATAGACCTGCTCAGATAGCACTAGCACTAGCATTTAGACTTATATATCACTTCACAGTGCTTTAAGAGGTTTACAGAGTCAACATATTGCCCCCCCCCCCCCCGCCCGCCCGCCCGCCCCAACAACCTGGGTCCTCATTTTACCAACCTCGGAAGGATGGAAGGGTGAGTCAACCTTGAGCTACTCAGAATCGAACTCCTGGAGTGAGCAGTGAGTTAGCCTGCAGTACTACTGCATTTTAACCACTGCACCACCATGGCTCTTAAAGGCTCGTAAAGGTGAAGGGGAAAGATGAATCATCAAGAATGATAATAGGGGGAAGATTGCAGTCAATGAGGAACTTCTGACACTGACTCTTTCTACTAGGGATTCTACTGACTTTGGTGAACAAATCATGAATAAATTTCCAGCCTCTACCCACATACTTTTTCCTGTTGAAAACAGCTCAATGAATTCTCCAAAATCTTCTCTATACTCCAGAAATGAACTCATCTTGGCATAATGATAGAGCGATACACAGACGTCCTTGGGGTCACGGACAGTGTAAATAGCCTGGAAGAGAAAGTTTGCCAAGCATTGCAATGGCTTCGTCTCAATGGTTCCCATAGTTTCTTCCCAAAGTGAAAACTTGGAGAGGCCAGGAGGAAATGTCAACCTCTCTTACCAGTTATCAGAAAGCCCCATCTCTGACTGCTGACTGATTTCTTAGTGGTGACCAATGGGAGCATGCTTTCCAACACACAAGGTAATTAAAGATTCATCCATCATACTAATTCATAATGGGTTTTCTTTGATTTTGGCATAGTGTGTTAGCCATCATGATTGTAAACTACAATTGCACCTTACTGAAGACACAATTGAATTTATGAATGAAGGCAAATATACATGTCTCAGGATAACATTGTAGGATGCAATCTGGGTCGGTTACCGGGACCACAGGTTTAGTCTTTCACAATTTTGGACTCCTGCTGGAGACCATCCCCAGGACTGTCCAAAATGTGTAGATAGGGCTCCATCATGAGTCCAAAAGCTAAGAAGATTAAACCTCTGGTCCTGGTGACCAACCCACATTGCATCCTACAATTGAATTCACTATTAACGATCTATGGCTTGTTTAATGAATCAACATTTTCTTTATATGTATACATACTCCTAGGTACAAATGGAATCACCTTAGCTTGTGAAGTGAAGAACTTTTCTGGAAAGATTGTTGCAGGCAAATGAGAGGTAATGAGACGCGGGGAGGGTCGATTCTCCAAGTATTGCTTTGCTGAATTGTGTTCAACCCAGGGCACTCGTTCCCAACAAGGGGTTGACTGTGAGAATGTGGGATCTCCATTGCTATAAATTAAAGTAAGAATTTCTTGCATCCAAGTTGTTCCTGAAAACAAGACAAGAACATCCTACACTTCAGCCTTACCCTGAATCTGCAAGGCATCATTGAAGGTATCTACCAAAGCTTTTTGTAGGAGCTGTGGAAGAAATTTAGGTTTAGGATCTGAAATGATCCAGTGGAACTAAGCAAAATCCCAGGTATTGTTTTATCATAGTATTTTGGGTTTCTGCACATACATGCACTTCTATTCACTAGGTCACTAGTTTCGATGGACAAAAAAAATTGGATGGACAGACAGACAGGGGACGCAATTTACTGCACAATTTTTAAGTGCCTCTTTCTGTCTCGTAGTTTTAAGGCAACCCTTTCACCAACAGACAGAACTGCAACTAGTCCCGGCATGCATCCAAAATCATTTGTTGTTGTTGTTGTTGTTTTAATTTTCCAACAAGGCATTTATGCTTTTAAGATTTTGATTTCACGCACTTAAAACACTGCTACTTTTGGTAATTTTTCTGGAAAAGTTCTAGCTATTATAATTTTATCAGTCCACACAACTTCTAAAGATATACACGTATACTTGACATATACTCTAGACTAGAGAAAAGTGAGTCAAAGCAAACCACGAAAGTATAAATTAATATATTTTCTTCATCCCGAAATTCCAGGGAAGCAGGGGATAGGTACTAGTGTGGCTCACCAGATTTGGGGTACGTAACATTGAAGACATCACTATCCCGCACTTGAAAACTCCGGTGAGCATAGCGAATGCTCTCTTCACTGTGCATGATGCTGGGAAATGTGATTCCTCCATACTGAATAGACTCGACAATCCGTTTGGCCATTGTGTTTCTGTGGAAGGAGGAAAGAGACACAAAGGAAGTAAAAACAGAAGCCCAAACACCCTTTCAACTCTCTGTCCCTGGAAAGGGAAAACCTCCTTGATGGAATTAATGGGAAAGAGGAAGAATGCAATTCCAAAGTTTTCCTTCCTTGCTTCTTCAAAATCTACTACAACTCCACCCAAATCTGTTTTTCTCTTCTCATCTTCCAGCCTCCTTTTGTGCCACACCTCTTTCTGGCACAGGCTGCGCAGAGGAAAAACCCTTGCAAAAAGAGACTTTGTCCTTTGAAAAGAGAAGAGAGCCAGCACAATGAAATTAAGGTCACATGTGTTCACAGTTCTCTCTGCCTTCCACACATACATACAGAGAGAAAATAATAAGTAAAATCCAGACTCAGAAGAAATATGCACTGCTACTATCTTTCTGTAACATTATTCTACATATTGTTTTCCCACTGATGCAGTTACTGGAAAAGAATATTGTAGCTTTTCACATAGAATTATTATTATTTTGTTCCCCAGTCCTGGAATGGAAAACAAGGCATTCTTCAGTCTTGGTCTATTGAAGCAAGGCTCCATACCAGCCAAACTCTGCTTTTCAAAAGAAATCATCTGACTCTCCCCTCTCGTTTTAATTCTCTGGTAACTACTAGAGGGCCCAGAACTCCTGATTGTAGCTCACCCTTCAGATGGGGAGTTTTCCTCCCTTCGAGAGTCATCTGCTGTTCATTTATAGCAGGAAGAGGGCTACTTGCAGTCCTCCACATGCCGTTTGACAAGTCTCAGAATCTGCCCCACACATACATTCTAAGGCTGATGGAAACTGGAGTCCCATCATCCAGAAAGCTGAGTGTGGTCAGTCTCCAATGTAAAGAGGTACCATCTGAAGAGAGCCGTATAACTTACAGTAATTCAACAGATGAGGCTTTAAGTCTCTTAGGACATAGAAAAGCATGCAGATATTCCTTTCTCATCAGACAACCAAGATTTCTGCTATCGGGATCTGGATCTAAATTATTGATCCATCTACATTCTTATGGGCCATCAGTTAAGTCACAGAAATATTCACATAAAAGCCAAATGTTCAGCTCCCATCCACCACCACCACCATCAAGGTTGTCAAACAAACCCAATGTAAATTTGCTTTGTGTTTGGGGTTTTTTTTGAATAACTGTAAAAACTGGGAGATATCCAAGAGCTCATCTTTTGAGAAGATGTTAAAGGCATAGGTTCTGGGCCAAGTAAATATGTTGGCAAGCTAAATCTAACCTGCTGGAAACTTCTTCCTTCCAGGAAAATCCAGACCTCCTGTTTCTCTCTACTTCTCAGTTGTAACTTGTAAAGTGCCAACAAATCATTGCAGATTAAATCAGAATTGGAAGAAGTTGTGCATCCTCAACTGGAGCATCTCATCATAGTTCAGCTGGCCACCAACCAAGGTGGTAGATTCCACAACCAAGCAATTTTTACGATGAGGAAATTTTTCCTCCTGTTTAACTAAAATCTGCTTCCCTGCATTTTGCCCACAGATCTTGACTTCCTCTGTAGAACAGAGCGCTTGACTTTTCCATCTTGGTCATCACTGGGCTATTTTTACCCTTTTTTATGGCTCCTAAAAGCTGCAGGGATGTGATGCTAAGGCAGTGAAGGTCCAGATAGGGTCAAATAATGTTGGCCTCTTTAGGAAGATGCTGGTTGTCTGCTGGGCTGGCAGGTAGCCTATGAACCACAGGCAGCCCACCTATGTTCTGTGGTTAGTTATATATCTCGCTTTCTGCTTCTTTATGTTTTCCTCTGTAGGATTAGTGTTAGATCTTCTTTTGAGGTCATTTTTATTTACCAATACTCACTCTCTTATGGTAATTGTCCATTTTATCAAAACCCTTCTTACAATGGGGCACTTGAGCAACACAGGACAGAGTAAAGCAATTATTTCTCAGGATCTGATCAGTGTTTTTGGTGATGTAATCTAATTGCAATAACTTTATTAGCAGCTGCACTACACTGTTGGCTCTTGCTTAGCTTTCAACCTACTAAGGTGCCCAAATCTTTTCCCTTTGTATAGCAGCCAAACCCGTTTTCCCTCTTCAGTACTTCTGCCTTTGTTATAAAACCTAAATACAGGATTTTTTTTTTCATTTTCCCACAAATATCCTTGATTTATACATGCAGTAAAATGCAGCTGGGAGTGAGCTGGTAGACTAATGAGGGAGTTAAAAAAAACACCACCTCCCCCCTTCACTCCACAGGGGTTTTGAGATTAGTTTGGTTTGGTTTGGTTTAGTTTCTTGTTAATGCCTCTCAATTAAAGTTTCCTTCCAGTAAAATTCTAGCAGGTCAATCTAGAGCCATTCTCTACATCGGTTAATATGATTCCATTCGGTGAATGTATCTTGTTTGGGAACAGCATAAACAGAAGCCTGTCTACTAACCACTGAATCCTCATAGAAACTCCTTTGTGCAACATTTCAAAGAAGTTACGCAGGATTAATAATAACATTTTAGAAGCAGCATATGAAAATCTGAAGCAACAACATGCTTCTGTAAGGAACAGGATATCTATATACTACTAAACCTGTCTGTTTGTAACCTTCAATAAGCCCAATTAGTGCATCAGAGTGCAAAGGTTTTTAAATCAAGGTGCCTCAAATCCACTAACTTAAAAAATGCATACACAATCCAGGACTCATGCTATTGAAATTTAAAGGATCTTCACATCAGTTGTTTTTGCAAAACTGGTGGTTGCTATATTGCAATGGTCCGTTGCAGTAATGTAATAGGATTTCTTACACTCGCTGCCAGCTCCCCACAAGCAAAGTCATTGGGGAAGCCAGCAGGAAATCAGAAGCCACTCCCACTCCCATTACTTTTTTTTCTTTTCTGTACATTAGCAATTTTATTTTTTCTGTTTAGGTAAGGAAATAATTCTGAAAGCTGTCATGGATTGTCTCATAGCTACCTAAAATATAAGGAATGTTAAGCTTTGAATAGTTATTGGAGAAGATATTCCTGGTCTTCACAGCCTGGTGAGGCTTGTATGACTTCCTAGCTACTTGCAGGTATAAGAAATCCTTGTGATTTCTACCCTGTTTGGCCAGCTTAGAGTGAGTACTTCTTAATCTTCCACAGCCAATCATCTTCCAAAGTGTAGGGAATGTAAGAGTTCCATTACGACTGAACTTTGCTACCAAGAATGTTCAGAATTGCCCCATCATATTTATCTTGGAAATTTAGACCATTGAGTAACAAAGCAGGTTTCATACACACCATAAAGTGTCAACTAAGAGGCACAGAAACACAAAAAGATACTCACGTACGAACCAGATATGATTACAAGAGGTAGCACTGCCTCAATCCAAGTAGCTAGCTTCCCTGCCTTGGTTTAGGCAACAAGCTAGGTCATTATGTAACTAGCGTGGGTTGATTTAGTGCAGTGTGTGCACTCAGAAATTACAGTTTAACACATCGTGGCTTACAAACTCCATAGTGGATTAAGCAATTAACACTGATTGAAAATCATTTTGGTCTCTCCTGCTTAACAGTAAATAAAGTGAGAATTTGGTACATTTGCCAGAAATCAATTCCACACCACAAGGCTGCAATATGTAGACATTCAACAGGTGAATTTTCATCTTTCCCCCTTTCTGGAAAAGAAATGTTGATCAGCCTGGAATTCTGTTTATCGGACAGCTCTAAAAACGAAGCAACCCTGCCGGGAAAAACCTTATTTCCACTCCATCCTTACTTATGCATAATTTCCAATAAATCTGACTTTTGGCTTCTATACAAACGGATCTTGCTGTCTTAAGTGCCTGGAGTGGAGGGTCTCCTTGCCTTCCCCACGCAACAAACCCCACGTCCCCTTCTAGTTTTGAACTCCAGACATACGGTTGTTCTCCAAAGAAAACCCGATTTTTCTGGCACGGCTTTTTCTCAACCCGCCTTTGCGGTCTCTTACTAATAAACCCCTATCCCTCCCACCCAGACCGCCGCGAAGCCGAAATCGGTGGCTCTCCGCCCTTCCTTTTTCATAACCTACTAAATTTCACTTCATTCCCACCGGACTCGGGCGTCCTGATTTTGCGATAACCAATCCAGGGATTCTGGGCGGGACTTCCCTTCGCATACGTTTCTCAAGCTTTGCCTCCTAACCGGAGACCCCCCCCCTTTTTTTTTTTTTTAAGGTGGCGAGATCCTCTTAGAGACGTCCTGCTCGATCCTTGACCCGCAGAAGGTATTCGATGGCCAGATGGTCCCTAAGGCCAGCAAAGAGGTTGCCCTGCTGCTCCATCAGAAAATGAATATGATGGGGCGAAGTCCTGAAATATCAGGAAGTATCATCCAAAGAAGCTTCTCCAGCTGTTGAGAAGTGAAACATCTTCAAAGAAAAACCAGAAAGTCCAGTTGCCTCTTGGAAAAGCACCTTTGGGACAACGGCAACCTGGATGACTGAGAATCTCCGTAGATCTTAGGAGTAAAACTTTTTCCACATATGTGAAACTTAACCTCCTCCAATACTCCATCCTTCTGGGTCCTACAGTTGCCACTTGACTTATAGGACTCTAATATGCATCCATAATGGTACGTAGCAACCTCCAAAGTCTGGGAATTCTTAAATCATAGCTTCTTGAACAAGCCGTATTAGCTTACTTCACCTATTTACTTATTAAATTTGTGGATGTGAAGCTAGTTCATCTCCATGGTGCACCCAGGATAGCGTGACAGTGTGAACTAAATGAACTAGCAACTAGCCAGACTACCCTGTAGACTTTCCTGCCTCTCAAAATACATGGCAACAAAAATGAAGCCATATGCTAAATAAATAAATATTCTATTTGTATGCTGCCCATCTGTGTATCAACCAACTCTAGGTGGCTTTATAACATTTAACATATAATCTTTATGACAACAGGCCATAGTTGGCTTTAGTTATTGTGCTAAGCTGCAAAACGTAACCACAGTAGTTGCACAAAAGCTTAACCATAATCTTCAATGTGTAAATTGATTGGCTGGATTCTTGCAGCACAGCCAAATGAAATTAAGTAACATTACAACCAGACATGACATAAGCGAAACCTATTCAAATTATTAGCTTATGGCTTATAAATTTGATGACTTCAGCTTGCAAAATGGGATTTCAACCTTGGCAGCTTTTTTTGTTAGTTCATCAAAAGAAACCTTGTCTATTCTATTCTGGACATTGCCACATTTCAGCCAATGTGTAGCAATGGTGTCATTGCCACACTAACAATGCAGCATCGATAATTAATCTCTGAGGCTAAATGAGGGAATACCTTATACAAGTCCCAATGTGAAAAACTACAAACTTATTTTGGGCAACATGATACAGGTATTGTTGTTTTCCCTGTCTTCAGTCACCCTCTTATAAAATCCTATTATGGAAAAGGAGTTGCACAAATATGTGCAGGCCATCTGTTCAAAGGTTTTCACGTGGAAAATTGTAGAGGTTTTACCAGCAATTGCCTGCCCTAAATGAAATCATACCTTACCAGCAGAAAACATTACATTTTGTCAAATTAAATTCCACAGCCTAGAAGGGAAAATGTAATGGTGTTTTCATTAGAGCAGCTGTAGGTAAAACTAAGATGTTGGACTATAACTTCTATTATCCCAAGGATTATGAGCAAAGAATATGGTAAAAGTTACCATAGTCCCATTCTTTTGGGAGTATTATAGATTCCCCATATTATAATGAGATTAGAACTGAGAAAACCTCAGTTCAAATTTCCATTCAGCTCATGGATAAGACTAGGATATGTCAAGCTCAAAAGGTCCATACATGAAGGTCCAATTAAACTGATTTATTGCTACTCATGCCAACCACAGGAATCTTCTCAATAAACCTTTAGCACCTACTATGGGTTAGATAACGATCAATGGAATTGAAGGAGTTGGACTTAATAACGAGAAACAAAGATGATTAGGGGATTGGAGGCTAAAATATACAAAGAATGGTTGCAGGAATTGGGTATGTCTAGTTTAGCTAAAAGAAGGACTAAGGGTGACATGATATAGCAGTTCCAATATTTGAGGATCTGTCACAAAGAAGAGGGAGTCAAGCTATTCCCCAAAGTACCTAAAGGCAGAACAAGAAGCAATGAGTGGAAACTAATCAAGGAGAGAAGCAAACGAGAACTAAGGAGGAATTTCCTAACAGCGAGAATTAACCAGTGGAACAACTTGCCTTCAGAAGTTGTGAGTGCTGCACCACTGGAGGCTTTTAAGAAGTGACTGGACAGCCACTTGTCTGGAATGGTATATGGTCCCCTTCTTGAGTAGTGGGTTGGACTAGAAGATCTCCAAGATCCCTTTCAACTCTGTTATTCTGCTTGTGTTTATATAAGAATTCTAGGTTGATCCCTGCCAGTTCTCATACAGGATAGTTCCAACTTTCAACCTAATTATCCCACAGTTGTAGTGAGGATAAAAGATACATTGCTTATCTGTAAGTGTATGAGAAAGTGGGGTGTTCTTCCTCACAGCCTATGGGTAAAACTTCGTTAAAATATTTTGTGTGGTCAATTGACAGTTTGACCATCGTAAAACAAGGTTATGTGACTGTGACATGTGGCAAACAGTCATAAATGCAGCTGTATTGCTGAACGCCCAAAGTGCAGTCATGTGGCCGCAGGGGGACGAACAGATCCAGGTTGTAAGTTTCCTTTTTCAGATAGGCTGTAAGTTGAGGACTACCTATTAAAGTTTTGGAAGGGCAAGGAGAGAGAGACCTTGAGAGATTCCCAATCCACTATCCGTCATGGTTTTTCTGTCCTTCCCAGATGTCTGATTGTTTTAAAGTCTTTAGATCAGGGGTATCCAACCTTGGCAACTTTTAAGGCTTGTGGATTTCAACTCCCAGAATTTTCCAGCCAGCCATGGGCAGGACATTCTGGCTGGGGAATTCTGGGAAATGAAGTCCACAAGTCTTAAAGTTACCAAGGTTGGACACCCCCTGCTTTATATGATGCAATCCACACATTCTGTTCAATTGGCCAATAAATCTGTTAGCCTTCCAGTATCTTAATGGGCTGAATATACCTTAGGTTTTCTTGCCTTATCAATGGGAATGTTAATCTTCCAGAATTTGATCTACATTTGACCTTCCACGAAGGTGAGGATCTCGTGTGCCAGGTCTTCCACTCTCTGAAAGAAATAGACTGCAAGTGATTTTGTTTGTTCATTGAATTTCTAAGCTGGTTGACTGCAGAAAGCTCCAAAACAGTGCTTTTTAACCATGGCAACGTGAAGATGTGTGGACTTCAACTCCCAGAATTCCCCAGCCAGCGAGAGAATCCACACATGTTCAAGGTGCCAAGGTTGAGAGATGCTATCCTAGAATGTTACATGAGAGGTCTTCTTTCAGAATGTTGGACTAAGTCCAACTTTTATTTCAGGAATCCTTAGATCAGTTTCAACCTGCCTCATAGGAAGCTTGCAATGAGTTGGAATCTATATCATGAGGAAGGTCCTCAACTATGACAAGCAAGACATCCAGATGATCTAACTGAAACAAATTGTGGATGACAGCCATGTTTTCGTACATTAATTCAATTGTTTGGATCCACAAAACCCATTGAACTGTAAATTAACCACTAAAGGTGCAATAAATATTGAGCCACAAACTAGCCAATCGCATTGGCCTACTATGCTCTGTGCACTCATCCATAGACTCTTTTGAACTCCATGGGGAAGAGAGGATACAGATTCAATAAGTATGTACACTGATCTAGGATTCACACTTTAAAGCGTGATTTCTTGTAGTATTAATTCAAACTGCCCTTTGCTGTTGCTTAGCTGTATTTTGTGGAATGACAAAATAGAACCACAATTGAGGCCAAAATTTCTGTTGTTAAGTGAGACATTTGTTAAGTGAGTTTTGCCCCATTTTATTATCTTTTTTGCCACACTTGAATCACTGCAGTTGATGAGTTAGTAACCCCCTGGTTAAGTGAATCTGGTTTCTCCATTGACTTTGCTCGTGAGAAGGTCACAAAAGATGATCACATGATCTTGGGACACAGAAATTGTCATAAGTATGAGTCAGTTGCCAAGCATCTGAATTTTGATCCCATGATCATGGGGATGCTGCAAAGATTGTAACCATGAAAAAACAGTCATAAATCACATTTTTCAATGCTACTGTAACTTTGAACGGTCACTAAATGAACTATAGTTAAGTCGAGGACTACCTGTAACTTTTCTTTTGCACTCACGCTATAGCTTCATTAAGCATGGCAATTATAAAGCCACAAAAAAGAAGATACGTTTTATTGATTTAGGACAGAACACATCCCTAAGCAAATGTCCGTTTTAGGGCACAATGAAAGGAGAGGATAGTTTGCAGTCAGGAACTAAGATTTTAGGCACAAAAAGAATGCAAGTAGGTCAAAATTCAGCTCTTTCTGAAAACTGCCCCGGTCATTCCCACTTTTGTCTGCCTCTCCTCCTAATCTGACCCTAGTACGTTCCTAGTACATTTGCTTTCCTCCTAAGCTGTTTTGCCTTCTCCACACATTTGTGACATTTAAAAAAAAAAAAGGTGTTATCCCACAGTTGCCATCTTGGCTTTTTAAAACCCCACCCCACCTTAGGACACCCATAACCTATTTTCAGGTGGAAAAAGTTCTTGTTCCTTGGTGGTCTCTGAGCTTGGTTGTTTTCTTGAAGGCAGTTTCATTACCCAACTAGGTATCATCACCAGTGCTAAAGGGAATGGGGTTTGCACTGATAATGTTACCTAGTTGGGTAATGAAACATCTGCAAGAAAACATCCAAGCACCAAGGACCCCACAGTTCAACCCTGAGCTACAAATATTCTCCTTGATTGGTAGAAAAATTATTCCCTCCAAATTGGTTCATGCCTTCAAGCTCATATTGCAAAGGTTTTAAGAATCGGCAGGCAAGCTTCTCGGTCACGCAGGCCCTGGAGATGCCAATTTATCCCTTTGCTAGAGATTCCATTTTCACCCCAGGATCTTCCCTTGCTTCCAATTTGTCAGAAGAGGCTGAGAAGTTCTGGCCAAACGGCTCAGGAGCCAAACTAGTCCAGAAGTCTCCAGTTGGTGACCTCTACTTTATGTTTCTCTAAATCAGCTGTACACCATCTTTAGGGCTGCAGCCTGATTCTTGACCATCTTTCCCAATCCTTTTCTGCAACAAAGGAGTAAGATGGCATCTTACTTGGGTTCAGCCTTTCCCCTGGAATGACATAATGGATAAGAGAAATGTTATCTCACTGCATCTGGGTAAGTTGAGATCACCAGTTTCGGGGAATCCACCGGTCTTCCAATCCACCTTAAATCCACCTTAAATTCCAATCCACCTTAAAAGATCTTCCTCCCCCCCCTCCCTCCCTCAATTGCATCTCTCGGGGGTCCCCTGGGTGCGAGGAAGGGAAAGAGAGGAGAAAAGATCTGTGCATTTTAGAAGTGGTGGGGGGGGGGGAGAAGGAGGGGGAGGCGGGTTTGGCTAGGAGATGCAGAGAAGGAAGAGAGAGAAAAACAGGCGAGGGAGGAATAAGAGAAGGGGAGCCCGAGAGGAAAAGAGGGAGAAAGAGAAGGAAGGAGGGAGAGGTCTGAAATAAGGCAAGAAGACCCCCCCCAAATAAGAAGTGGGGGAGAAAGAAGAACGACTGAGGAGGACGGCAGAGAAAAAGCTGAAAGAGGGATTGTAGAGAAGGGGAAGGTGGAAGGAGAAGAGGAAGAGTGAGAAAGGGGGGACATAAGGGAAAAAAAGGGGGGGAAACAGGTGGAGAAAATAAAAGCGAGAAGAGCAGAGGGAAGGAAAGCAGAAGGTAAGCCGGGGAAAGAAGCGGGGGGCAGCGCGGAAGAAGCTAGTCCACGGGGAGGCAGGGAGAGGCGGTGGGAAAGAAAGAAAGAAAAGATAGCGACAAAGAAGTAAAGTTAAGGGCGCCTCGCGGACAGCGGCAGCGTCTCCTTCCCGCCACCCTCCGGATCCAGCGCCAGCGCCCCCCAGCCGAGAAGCGGGCAGTCCCGCCACTCCGGCGCCTTGGGGGGGGGGGGGGAACGAAGCGGCGGAGTGGTGGGGGATCTCTTCCAGCCGCTTTCTCCGCTCCCCCCGGCGCGCAAACTCTCACGGCCGGAGCCCCTTCGCTTCCCCGGACACCACCCGAGCATCTTCCGCATTAATTGAGGTGGGCGGCGGGGGGGGGGGGGGGGCCGGGGGGTCCCCCGGGTAAATGGGGGGGGGGGGGGGGGGGGGGGGGTAGTTGGTGGTATCCCCAGGAGAAAGGGCGGGAGGAAGAGGAGGAGGAAGATGGAGGCGTCGAGTAAAGAGACCTAGGGAGCCGGAGAGCGAGAGGGCATGGAAAGGGCAGGGGGCTTCCGAGGATGAGGGCTCGCTCGGGGGGCGCATAAGAGCCGGCCGCCAGGAAGCTCGACTTCCGTCTCTCTCTCCGGAGGCTGTGAACGGGGTCTTTGCCGCGGGATGCTGAGGAGGGGGCAGCTCCGGCTTTAAGCCCCTCTTGACCCACCAGGATGTGGACCGGACCTGGCAGGGGGCTCTGCTTCCTGGGAGCACCAGGGCTGCTGCTGTTGCTGCTGCTGAGAGCAACTTGTATGGCTGGTAAGAGAGAGAAAGGTATTGGGGGGGGCGGGGAGGAGATTAGCTTGGAATGGGTTTTTTTGGCTGGGGAGGGCGGGTGGGAGATTGAATTGTTTGTTGTAAATAGAAAGGAGGAACAAAAGGATGAAGCCAGTCCCGGTGGAATCAGGGGTAACTCTCTCACACCTCTGCCCCCCCACCCCCAATCTATATACATACACAATTTTTTTTCATTCAGATTTGGGAGCAGGTGAGTGCATCTTCCTCCCTCCTGCATAAAAAGACCCTCTCACTTATGGACACTGGTTAATCAGAGATGAAATCAATCAACTGTTCTGAGGGGAAATTATTTCTCCCTCGCATTCTTTCCGTTGCCTCTAGCTTTTCATCCATCTGCTGTATGCATCTTTTACGACACCTGATCAGCCACAGTTTAAGCTGATCCCCAGGCTAAGATCCCACCTGGGCTGCCCTGTTTCAGCCCCGGGACACGACCTGAAAAAGTAGCACCAATGGAGAGGCAAAAGTGTTTCTGAGCATGTGAAGTTTCTTTCTCCACATTTCATACTGTTGAGGAGTAGCTTTGATTTGTTCTCATTTTTGGATGTTTCCAGTGGCTGGGGGTGTAGCCTGCCAGTCCAGGTACCTTATTTCAGCATTTGCAATTTGGATTCTGGAAGGAAGGACAAAGAGAAGGAAAAGAAGTTTAGATAATCTTCATGGCAAGGAGTGGCAAACAGAGAGGAAGATCTATGCCATTTCTTTGCTCCAGTCCTCTCACCAACTGCCTTTGCTAATTTACCATTTTTTCCTTTCATTTTCCCCCTCCTCCCTCCTTTTTCTAGTGCAATTTGTTCCTGCAAAAACCTACGAGGACTGGTGGGCATACAAGGAAACACTTCATGGAAGCTTTGTGCCAGGTACAAAATTCTCCATGCCTGGATAGTGCTGGTGGAGAATGCTCCAAAGAACAAAGAGTGGCATGTCTTCCTTAGATGCCCTCTTGAGGTACCCTCATCCTAGATGTTCCTTCTAGGTCTGTGACCTCTTCATGAGGGGGACATTTTCCATGAGTTGACTTTTCTTGTGATCGAAACACGTTGAATATCCCTCATGTATAATACATGTCTTTATTTTTTTGTTACAACATCTTATTGACCAATGCACTATGAATATTGTAAAGATCCATAGCTGAATCTGAACTGGTATTTATCCTTTTGGCTGATGATTTCAAAGAGGGTTTAGCAGAAAACACTTGCTTTGAATTCAGAAATCCAGCTAAAAGATTCAAAGAATGACTGAGAAGAAAACTTATGCTGGAAACTCTGGTGTTACTTGGTTTCTTCCAACATGGTGCCATGAAGATGTGCTGGATGATCCTTTCCAAGATTCCCTGGTGGCATGGAAATTTTGGGAAATGTAGACCAGCACATTTGGATTTTATTTGGTTTGGGGACAAATGACCCAATCATTTAAAAGGATCTCCTTACATTCTTAAAGCTTGGCTAGGGGGCAGCACCAAGCCAAATTTGGCTAATTTCAAAGGGCTTAGCAGAATTGAACCTGGCTTGTATTTGCAGAGCAGACTATTAGGAAATTCTAAGGAATTTGGCTAGTCTGGAGAGGCAAAAAAAAAAAAAAAAAAAGCTTCCAAGATAGGTGGCCAACTACCCCAGTATTATTGTGAAGAAATAAATATGGCAGTTCCTATAAAGGCACTAGGAGTCAACCTTGACTCCAAATAATAATAATAATAATAATAATAATAATAATAATAATAATAATAATAATAATAATAATAATAATAATAATAATAATAATAATAATAATA